CCTGGCTCAGAGAGGGCCCGTATCTGTAACCGTGGTGGCTGTGAACATGCCTTTGCAAAGTGTGCAAATAAACCTTCCCCCCCGACGCCGCGCCGGCTGCTTCTCTCGTTGGTGCCCCGATCGCCGCCATGATCCAGGCCACCCAGCCTGGGCCCCACGGCCTCTGATGGGGTCAGGGAGGTGGGGGGCTGCGCACTGGAAGGAGCGGGTTTGTGGACTGGCTGTAGTACGTTCGTTAACACGGTAAAAGACGTGGGGGGGCTGGGAGTCAGGACTTCTGGGTTCTCTGGGAGGGGCGTGGGGACTGGTGCGTTACAGCAGGGGGCTGGGAGCCAGGACACCTGGGTTCCATTTCTTGCTCTACCCTGCCCCCAGTTTCCTTTAGGGCTGTGGCCTGGTGCCGTGCCATCCTCCTCTCTGGCAGGCGTGGTGTAGCCAGCAGGGGGAGCTCACATCATACGTCCCGCCCCTGCAGGTGGAGGTGTTCAATATCCTGTTTGTGACGAGCGAGAACGGCAGCAAGAACTCGTACCTGGTGCACTGCGAGGACTGCGCCCGCCAGCGCAGCACCGCCCTGCACGGCGTGGTGGTGCTGGAACAGTACAAGACGGAGGAGCTGATGCAGATCTATGACAGCTTCACCCTGGTGAGGGCCTGGGGGCGCTGTGGGGCAGGGAGCGGGGCGGGGGGCTCAGCAGGGGGCTCTCTCCTCTGGCAGGCAGGGCAGCGCTAGGGGGCACTGTCCTGTAGGGAGCACATTCTCCCACTTGAGGTCCCTTTTTCCCTGGTGACTCACTGGAACGTGTGCTCCCGGGGGGAATTCTGCACCAAAAAATTAAAAATTCTGCGGTCAATATTTTAAACTTCTGCATATTTTATTTGTGAAAATCACAGAATCTAATCACGCCGGTTTCAATTATTTTAGTCATTTATTTCAAAATACTTGTCAGCGAGTACATCTGAATGATAGACAACAGAAACAATTCAGGTGTGTCCCTGCATCCCTCCCCCATCCCCAAGTGACTCTGCACCCCCTTCCCTGTCTCCATGTGTACTTGCATCCCCACTCAGATACCCCTCCCCCATCCCCATGTGTCCCTGTGCCCCCGCTTAGCGATCCCCCTCCCTCCATCCCTATGTATCCTTCCACTTGCCTCCCCCTGTGCCCATGTGTCTCCGCACCCTTACGCCCATTCAGTTCCTGCCCCAGTCCATCCCCCCTATTAGCCCTTCTGAACCCCCGTCTGTGACCCCAGTGCCCCATGTTGTCCATTCCTCCATGTCACCTGTCTCCTGACCTGGCCCAGGGGCAGGGCGCTGTGCAGAAGGCAGCCTCTTTGTCTTCCCTATCCGCAGCTGGGGATGCTCCTGCCTGGGAGCCGCTGCTCTCTGTTCTGGTGACACAGCGACCGCTGGTGGGCAAAAGGAGTAACTGCAGCACCTTTCTGGCAGACATGTATTTTCTGTGGTTGGGTGGGGCAGGGAGGAATTGAGCGTGACACATGAATTCTGCGCGTGCGCAGTGGTGCAGAATTCCCCCAGGAGTAAACGTAAAGGGAAGGTATTGGGGGGAGGGAGTGCCCTGCTGCCATGCACAGGACTCCTGGGTCCCATTTACCCTTTCTTTCCTTCCCACCCGCAGGCTGGATCCCCCAGCTCCAGATGAGCCAGACCTCGCCCAGGTACTTCCTGGGCAGAGACAGGAATCAGCTCCCCCTTCCCCTGTGCCCCCCTGCCCCGCTGGGGGAAGGAGGGGACATCTTGGCACTGCCCGTCCCAGTGGCCAATAGCAGACAAGCTCTTGTTTACTCCGGAACCGCTCCGGCCCAATCAGCTTTGCTGTTGAAACGAGGGGGGGGGGAGCCCCAGAAGCAGCCAATCTTCTGCGTGATACCAAGAGCCAATCCGCAAGCAGCCTGTGAATACAGAAACTCACACAAATGAACTTTTTAATTTATTCTTGACAATGACCTTGGGGGGGAGACGGGGAAACTTTTTAAAAGAAATATTTTTTTTTTTAATTTTATTTTGGAAAATAATAAAAACCACACACACACACCCCCGCCCACGAGACGGGAAAAGGAAAAACGTGGACGCTGGGCGGCTCAGAGGGGCCGGCGGAGCCCTCCGGGCGGTTCCCTGACAGACACACGCCGGCCTTCGACCGGGGACAGGAGATCGGCCACACGCAGGAGAACATGGACTCTGGAACTCCGCCACAATCTCTCTTCGTCGACGGAGCATTAACTCGTTCGGTTTGCAGAAGCGGGGCGGGGGGTGGGGCGGGGGGGGAGACCCCGGCAGCGGGGAAAGGGGGTTGGGTTGTTTTTTCTTTTTGTCGTCTTTTTACATTTTTCTTGTCAGCAAATTAAGCAAAAAAAAAAAAACAAAACAAAACAAAACAAAAACCAACCAACAACAAAAAATACGGGTTTTTTACGCAGGAATTTCCCTTTGTTTCCTCTTTGTGCGTTTGTGGCAGTGGGAGATTGTACATTGGTTTATATATATATTGGCGCGGGGCGGGCGGTTTGTGTGAGCGTGCGTGGTTTGATTCTCACTCTTTGCTTTCTTAAATCCTGGCTGCTTTGCTTTGGGGGTCTTTTGATTCGATGTATTCCTGGCTTGGTTTTTTTTTTTCTTCTGAACTCATGTGAAGGAGCCAATTCCCGCCGGCTTGGGTCCCTGATTGTGCGAACGATGGTGCAAAGGGGGAGCGAGGAACCCTGCTCGGATTCCAGCCCCGTGCTCAGGGCTTCGCGGGAACCCTGCCCCCGGGAGCTGCCTTCCCCTGGGTTAGCGTTTTCGCACAATCGCGGCCGTGTTTTACACTTCTCTCAGGTCATCCACAGAAACTGAGCCAGGACGGCAGGACAGATATCTGCCTTAACTCCCCCGCCGGCCAGGTTTTGCCTCTCCACTTCTCACTTGTTTTCAAACGAGAAACATGTCGGGTGCTTTTTCTTTTCTTTTCTTTTTTTTTTTTTTTTACCTCCAGGTCTCAGAGTTTTGCAATTTGTAAATTGTCCTCTTGTTGTCGTTGTGTATTTTTTCTTTTATTTATACATCATTTTTGTAATGATTTCTCTATTTATTGGTTGCTATTGGGGGGTTGATTTGAGTGTTCGGGGGTTGTTTTTTTTAAATCTCTTTTTTTTTTAAATCATGTGTATTTGTCTGTTTCTCGCCGGAATTTTTTGGGGGGGGGTTTTAATGTTAAGGCTCAGCCCGTCCCCGGCATCGTGAGACGGGGGTTTTTGTTCAGTCTTTTGCCTCTTTTCATGGTGCTGAATTCCACACTCACTGTGCGATCGGGACTTCTGTTCATTTCCTTTTGAGGAATCTTGTCCCTTTCCCCCTCCCCTTGTAGAACCCCCCCCCCACTCCTATCCCAGCATCTCGCCAACACACTGAATGAAACAAGCGGAAGTCTGGGTCCTCCTGGATTATACTGTACTGTAAGGCGACAAAGGAAAAAAAAATCTTATTTTGTAAATGTAAAAAAGATTAAATTAACTCACAGAGATACAGAAAGGGCCTCATTGCTTTTTGTTCCGAACGGGACAGCGAGTTTCTTCGTCGACGCTCCAAAGCCCAGGAGCTGGGCAATGAGTCCCTTGGCCGATCTGGGCTGAGACGTGGTGAGAGGTGATTCTTGGTGGCGTCAAATCAAAAATTTCCCGGAAGATGCTTTGGCCAAACTCTACCAATGAATCTTCACGATTGAGAGCGGCGCTGGGCCCAGTGCCGTGGGCCACGTGTTACCATGGAGAAAAGGGCTGATGGGGCAGAAAGAAAGAAGCCACAGAAAGGATCCCAGGGCTCCGTCTCTGGATCATCTCCAGGAGGGGCCGCGGTTACGTGGGGAGGAAATCCCAGGCGGTCAGAGGGCATGATGAAATGGATTTTCTGACCTGAAACTACCCCAACATCGTTAAAGCAATAACTTCCCCCTGCCCACAACTGCCATAAGAACATAAGTTCAGCCACACTGGCAAACAGAGGCCAGGGACACCATCCCTGCCCATCCTGGCTAATAGCCACTGATGGACCCATCCTCCAGGAACGTATCTAGTTCTTTTTTGAACCCTGTTATAGTCTTGGCCTTCACAACATCCCCTGGCGAGGAGTTCCACAGGTTGACTGCGTGTTGTGTGAAGAAATACTTCCTGTTGTTTGTTTTAAACCTGCCGCCTATTGATTTCATCTGGTGACCCCTAGTTCTTGTGTTATGAGACCGAGTAAACAACACTTCCTTATCAACTTTCTCCGCACCCGTCATGATTTTATAGACCTCTATCATATTCCCCCCTTAGTCGTCTCTTTTCCAGGCTGAAAAGTCCCCATCTTATTCGTCTCTCCTCGTACGGAAGCCGGTCCAGACCCCTCATCGTTTTTGTTGCCCTTTTCTGAACCTTTCCCAGTTCCACCAGATCTTTTTTTGAGCTGGGGCGACCACACCCGCTCGCAGTGTTCGAGACGTGGGCGTCCCACAGATTTATATAGAGGCGACAGGATATTTTCTGTCCTATTCTCTTTCCCTTTCTTCATGATTCCCAGCGGTCGGTTCCTTTTTCCGACGCTGCGGCACGTCGAGTGGATGTTTTCAGAGAACTCTCCACCGTGAGGCCGTGATCCCTCTCTGGGGCGGGAGCGGCTCGGTGCCAGACTGAGCCTTCGGGGGCCAAGCGGTTTTCCTGCGTGGGTCCTTCCCCCTGGGCCCAGTCATCCACCACAAAATAACGTTTTATTTTTAGTTAGTACAGGGGGCGGGCTAGGAGGGGGCTGTGTTGCGGGAGTGAGGGGCACCGGCAGAGCTGGGGGGGGCCAGGGCTGGGGGCGGGAGTGAGGGGCACCGGCAGAGCTGGGGGGGGGCCAGGGCTGGGGCTGGGGGGCGGGAGTGAGGGGCACCGGCAGAGCTGGGGGGGGGGCCAGGGCTGGGGCTGGGGGGCGGGAGTGAGGGGCACCGGCAGAGCTGGGGGGGAGGGGTGACAGGCGGTGGATCACTTCAAGCATCCGTGGAATCTGAGCAGGCCAAATTCCTGGCCCCCCCTTTGCACATGGAGGGCGGGGGAGGGGGGATGAGCCGGGCAGCAGAGCCAGGAAACCCCCCCCCCGCGCATCTTGTCCCAGGACTCGCCTCCCTCCCAACGCCTCCCCTGCTGCCCCTGGACGGGGGGGGCAGGACGAGGTAAGGGGCGGGGCCCGGGCGGCCCGCGGGCGCTATAAGGCGCAGCGCGCAGGGGCCGCGCAGGGAGCCCCTCGGGCAGCCGGACCCCCCGCCCCGGCCATGTCCGGCTCCCCGGCGGCGAGCGGGCGGCAGGATCCCGGCGGGGCGGAGCGGGGCAGCCCGGTGCCGCCGCCCCCGTACGGCGCGGGGGACCCGGACCCGGGCCCGGGGCCCCCGCTGGAGCTGCGCGGGGCGCTGGACTGCCTGGCCTGCGCCGTCCTGCTGAGCGCGCACAACCTGCTGGCCGCGGCGCTCTGCGCCCTGCTCTGCGCGCTGCTCTGCGCGGCCGCGCTGCTGCCCGCGGGCACCGCGCTGGGGCTCGGCTTCCTCTGCCACTCCAAGGTGAGCCCCCCCCCCCCGGACCCCCGCCCCCCTGACCCCCCCCGGCTCCCCCGAGACACCCCCGGGGCTTCCTCTGCCACTCCAAGGTGAGCCCCCCCCGACCCCCGACCCCCGCCCCCTGACCCCCCCTCGGCTCCCCCGAGACACCCCGGGGCTTCCTCTGCCACTCCAAGGTGAGCCCCCCGGACCCCCGCCCCCCTGACCCCCCCTCGGCTCCCCCGAGACACCCCGGGGCTTCCTCTGCCACTCCAAGGTGAGCCCCCCCGGACCCCCGCCCCCTGACCCCCCCCGGCTCCCCCGAGACACCCCGGGGCTTCCTCTGCCACTCCAAGGTGAGCCCCCCCGGACCCCCGCCCCCTCTCGGCTCCCCCGAGACACCCCGGGGCTTCCTCTGCCACTCCAAGGTGAGCCCCTCCGGACCCCCGCCCCTCTGACCCCCCCCCCAGAGCCCCGCTCCCCTCTGACCCCCCGGATCCCCCCCGACCCCTCCAGAGACACCCCGGGGCTTCCTCTGCCACTCCAAGGTGAGCCCCTCCGGACCCCCGCCCCTCTGACCCCCCCCAGAGCCCCGCTCCCCTCTGACCCCCCCGGATCCCCCCCTCGGCTCCCCCGAGACACCCAGGGGCTTCCTCTGCCACTCCAAGGTGACCCCCCCCCAGAGACCCGCTCCCCTCTGACCCCCCGGATCCCCTCCCGACCCCTCCAGAGACACCCCCGGGGCTTCCTCTGCCACTCCAAGGTGAGCCCCCCCTCGGGGCCCCCCCTCCCCTCTGACCCCCTGGAGCTACGCAGAACAGAGCTGGCAGGGTGGGGCTGGCAGGGGGCTTCAGGTCGGGAGTGAGGGGCACCGGCAGGGCTGGGGGAAGGGCGAGATCTCTGCCCTTGGATTCCTGGGGGGGTTGGACCCCCCCCACCCCATGGAGCTGCGGGATGCTCTGGGTGGTCCCAGCCCAGCAGGGGCGTTAAATTCCCAGCAGCCCCAGGAATGGGGCGGGCAGGCGGCGGCGGGTGGGGGGTTGAGACAAGCAACATGAACCCAGGAGTCCTGGCTCCCAGGCCCCCACCCCCCACTGCCAGAGCCAGGGAGAGAACCCAGGCGTCCTGCCCTTCCCCTCCCCCACCCCGCCTGACAGCTGACGAAGTGCAGACCTGGGGGGTCTGGTTGTGGCCGATAACCCCATGGGGCCGGGGCAGCCCGTCCCGGCGCCGCCCCTGCCCCCCCATCACTCCTGACAAATGCGGGGGGGCGTTGTCCCTTCAGGCACATTCAGGCCAGGGGAGCTTAGATGGTGGGGCTGGGTGTGTTTGCACGTGGGCCCCCGTCCTTGCACGCTGTTTGCACACCTGAGGGGGGTGCCCCCAGGCTTCGGGCTCGGCTGTGGCGTGCGGCCAGTGCCCGTGAGCGTGCGAGCCGGCGCCGCTCTTTGCACACGCGTGTGTACGTACCCTCCCGAGGGCCAGCGCCGGCCCACACGCCTGTCGCACGCCCGCTGACCCTCTCCCCTCCCCCCCGCAGTTCCTGCACGCCCGCGTGCCCCCGTGCGAGGCCCATCTTCACGACGCCGGGGCCACGGCCCTGCTGGTGCTCGGCTTCACCCTGCTGCTGCCACTCCTGGTGCTGGGCCTGGCGGCCTTCGTCCGGCTGGCGCGGCACCTGCAGCTGGGCTACTGCCTCCTGCCCTACAGCCTGGCCGTCTACCGCAACCTGCCCGCCGGGCACTACCGCCAGGCCGCCTGGTGCTGCCCCCGCGCCCGCCCGCCCGCCCCGCGGGACAAGGTCTGGGTGTGAGGGGGCCCGGGGCGCCCCGCCGGCCCCCCCCAGCGAACGAGGAGCAGCCCGCGTGGGGCCGACACCCCAAAGAGACCGGGGGGGAGGGGAATTGCTGCTGGCTTGGGGTGCGCGACACCTGCTTGTTCTGCCTCTAGCTGCTTCGGGGGGGGGCAGCGTTTGTGCCTGGGGTTGGGGTGAGCTGTTGGGGCAATCTAGGGAAGGCTGTGGGTTGGGGGGGACCCCCTCTGGATTGAGGGGCTGTAATTTAGGGGCAGGCTGGGTCTGAGCTGGGTGAGGTAGGGAGCTCTGGGCCTTGGGGGGCTGAGGGTGAGGGGCAGGCTAGGGTGGGGCGGGGGGGACCTTCAAAGGAAGCAGACGTGTGTGTGGGGGGGTCATTTTATTATCAATAAAAGTCCTTTTCTATCAAGCACAATTGATTCCTTTTTCTTACACCCCCGCTCAACATTTGTGTGTCACTCAGGAATGGGGGAGGCCCCAGGGTAGACCAAAATGCTAAGGGAAGGGCTGGGGGCCTCCCCCACATCTGCTGTGGGATCCCATCCTGCCCCACCAGGGGGGCAGGCAGGCTGGGGCTGCGGCACACACTGCTGTGGCAGGGCTGGGGCTGCGGAACTCCCTGCTGCAGGATTTCTGCCACCACTTTCCCCCCTCTTCCTCAGGGCCCGGCGCTGCCCCGACCCTCTACTGGAGGCAGGTCCCTGTTTTGCCGGGTGCTGCCACGACCCTTCACTGCTGGCCTCGCCCCCACCCCGTGAAGGGCCGTTCTCTGACCCCTGCCTGCCCTTCCGCTCCAGGGCTGGCCTGGCTCCACAGCAAACAGCCGCCGGGGAAACACGCTCAAGTTTTCCATGGCCGGAGGGAGCGGAGGCAGGGCCCAGGCCCTGGGAACCCCCCGGAGGTCCAGCCCTGCCCCCTCACATCGCTCCCCCGCTAGGTGGGCAGGGGTCAGGCATGGGGACGGGGAACCTGCCAGCAGAGGCAACAAGGGCATGGGGTGGGATGGGGCCAGGAGCGAGGGTTACCCCTGTCCTACGCAGGGAAAGGGAGGCAGATGGAGCCCCAGACAACAGGAAATCAGTGACAGAGCCGGGGACAGAACCCAGGAGTCCTGGCTCCCAGCCCCCGTCCCAGACTCAGGGAGAGAACCCAGGAGTCCTGGCTCCCAGCCCCATCTACTCTAACCCACCAGCCTCCCTCCCAGAGCCAGGGAGAGAACCCAGGAATCCTGGCTCCCAGCCCCCCCTGCTCGGGCATGCTTTCGGGCTGGCGCGGGTTTAAGGCAGGCGCGGGGGGTCCAGTGCCCCCCGCAGGCAGGGCCATGGGGCAGCCACGGGCCCAGGGTTGGCGGCAGCAGCTGGGAACAGGGGAAGCAGCCTGGGCTAAGATAAGCGGCTCCCCCGGGTCGCAGCCTGCGGCAGGGGAAGGGCAGGACGGGGCGGGGGACAGAGCGGCCCATTGTTCGGAGCTGATGGGAACAGCAGGCGCTGGGCTGGGGGCCAGGCTCGGCCCAAGGCCACGGAGACGGGGAGGCAGCAGCGGGGTCCCCCCATTCCCAGAGTGCAGGGGGAGCAGCCCTGGCCAGCAAGGGGTTAACAGTGCTAGTGGGGGGAGGGGGAACAGGGAAAACAAATCAGTAGGGTCGGAAGTGAGGGGCACCGGCAGGGCTGGGGGGGGCAGGGGGCTGTGGGTCGGGAGTGAGGGGCACTGGCAGGGCTGTGGGGGCAGGGCTGGGCTAGCAGGGGGCTGTGGGTCAGGAGTGAGGGGCACCGGCAGGGCTGGGCTAGCAGGGGCTGTGGGTCAGGAGTGAGGGGTACCGGCAGACCTAGGGGGGCTGGGCTGGCAGGGGGCTGTGGGTCAGGAGTGAGGGGCACCGGCAGGGCTGGGGGGGCAGGGCTGGGCTAGCAGGGGCTGTGGGTCGGGAGCGAGGGGATTAGTTTTGGTGTGGGGAGAAGAGCGGGAAGCAGTTGGCACTAACCCTGGCTCGGCTACTGGTGCCCAGACGCCAGGTGAGGGGCAGGGCCCAAGGGCGAGAACAAGGCCCGGTCACCCATGGGGGGGGAGCGAAGGAACCGGCTTGTTTCCGGCCAGGGACGCCGAGACCCGTGCGGCACAAACGAGGCCCGGCGGCTGCTCTGGGCTCCCCACAGGCTTTACTGGGCAGAGCGCCCCCCGGCCGCCAGCCCCGGTGCCCGGCAGTGCCCCGCGGGCAGGTCCTCGGGCAGGTCTCTCCGCCGGGCGCCTCTCACAGGTACTGGGGGCTGCCCAGGTTCTCCAGCTCCACCTCGATGGAGACGACGTGGTGCCCGGGCACCATGGCCAGGCCCAGCACGCGGGGCTCGCTGGCCGCAAAGGAGTCTGGGGACGAGAGGGGGGGGTCAGAGAGTCGCTCCCTGCGCCCCGCTCTAACCACCAGCCCCCACTCCCCTCCCAGCGCCGGGGAGGGAACCCAGGAGTCCTGTCTCCCAGAACCCCCTGCTCTGACCCCCCAGCGCCGGGGAAGGAACCCAGGAGTCCTGGCTGCCAGCCCCCCCCCCTGCTCTAACCACCAGCCCCCACTCCCCTCCCAGCGCCGGGGAGGGAACCCAGGAGTCCTGTCTCCCAGAACCCCCTGCTCTGACCCCCCAGCGCCCGGGGAGGTCCTGGCCCCCAGCAGCCCCCAGGCGGGGAACCCCGGCGTCCGGCGCACCGCTGGCTTTGAGGAACTCCTGCGCCGAGCCCAGGATGACGTTGCAGTCGCGGTCGGTGCAGAGGAAGCAGCCGACGAGCGTCCGCCCGTCCGTCATGCGGATCCGCAGGCTGCGGTTCAGCAGCGCCTCCAGCTGGCGGCGGGCGCGGGCGCGGGGCGAGTCGGGCGCCTCCGCCTCCGAGTCCTGCGGGGAGAGCGGGGCTCAGGCCGGGGGAGAGCGGGGAGCCCGAACCGCCCCGGGGACCCGCCCCCCCGGCCCCCTGCTCCCCACAGCCGCCCCCCGCCGCTGCCCCCCCGGCCCCCGCCCCCCCTGCTCCCCACAGCCGCCCCTGCCCCCCCTGCTCCCCACAGCCGCCCCCCCCCCCCCTGCTCCCCACAGCCGCGCCCCCCGCCGCTGCCCCCCCCCGGCCCCCTGCTCCCCACAGCCGCCCCCCCGCCGCTGCCCCCCGGCCCCCGCCCCCCCTGCTCCCCACAGCCGCCCCCCCCGCCGCTGCCCCCCCGGCCCCCGCCCCCACAGCCCCCCCGCCCCCCCTCCCCACAGCCGCCCCCCCCGCCGCTGCCCCCGGCCCCCCCCCCCGCCCCCCCCGCCCCCGCCCCCCTGCTCCCCACAGCCGCCCCCCCCGCCGCTGCCCCCCGGCCCCCGCCCCCCTGCTCCCCACAGCCGCCCCCCCCCGCCGCTGCCCCCCGGCCCCCGCCCCCCCTGCTCCCCACAGCCGCCCCCCCCGCCGCTGCCCCCCGGCCCCCCCCTGCTCCCCCACAGCCGCGCCCCCCCCCGCCGCTGCCCCCCGGCCCCCGCCCCCCTGCTCCCCACAGCCGCGCCCCCCGCCGCTGCCCCCCCGGCCCCCCTGCTCCCCACAGCCGCCCCCCCGCCCCCCCGCCCCCCTGCCCCCACGCCCCCCCCCCCCCCCCGGCCCCCGCCCCCCCTGCTCCCCACAGCCGCCCCCCGCCGCTGCCCCCCGGCCCCCGCCCCCCTGCTCCCCACAGCCGCCCCCCCCCGCTGCTGCCCCCCGGCCCCCGCCCCCCTGCTCCCCACAGCCGCCCCCCCCGCCGCTGCCCCCCGGCCCCCACCCCCCCCCCCCCACAGCCGCCCCCCCGCCGCTGCCCCCCGGCCCCCCCCCCTGCTCCCCACAGCCGCCCCCCCCCCGCCCCCGCCCCCCCCCGCCCCCTGCTGCCCCCCCCCGGCCCCACCCCGCTACCGCTGCCCCACCCGCCCCCCCCCCCTCCCCCCGCTCGCCCCCCACAGCCGCCCCCCCCCGTCCCCCCGCTGCCCCTGCTCCCCGCCGCTGCCCCCCCTCCCGCTGCCCCCCCCAGCCCCCCCCCCCGCCGCTGCCCCTGCTCCCCACAGCCGCCCCCTCCCCCCACCCCCGCCGCTGCCCCCCAGGGCCCTCGCCGACACCCCCCGCCGCCCCTTCCCCCAACCTCTCCCTCCGCTGCCCCCCCGGCCAGGGACCTGCCCCCCGCCCCCTCTCACCGCGGGGCTCCCCCCGCGGCCGCAGCACCCGTTCTCCTCGCGCTGCCCGGCCGGCGCCGCCATCCCGCCCCTCCCCCGCCCCCCGGCGGCTCCTCCTCCTCTCGCGAGCGCGGCGCGGGACCGGCGGCCCGTGCGCGGGGGGGGCGGAGTCTCCCGGCGGGCCGAGCGCGCGCGGTGGCTGCTGGGAGGGGGAGGGGGCGGCCGGCGGTTGCCATGGCAGCGCGGGCGGCGCGATGGAGACGTTCCCGTCCCGCTACTTCACCCCGCGCGAGGTGGCGGCGCACGCGCGGCCCGGGGACCTCTGGGTGTCGTTCCTGGGCCGCGTCTCCGACCTCAGCCCGCTGGTCCGGCAGCACGAGGGTCTGCGCCCACAATGCCCCGCGCCGCCCCCCCGCCAACACCCCCCACAGTGCCCCGCGGCGCCGCCCCCCCCGCCGCGCCCCCCGGGACCCCCCCCACCCGCAGAGCCCCTCGCCGCCCCCCCCACCAACCCCCTCCACAATGCCCCGCGCCGCCCCCCCGCCAACACCCCCCACAATGTCCCGCGCCGCCCCCCCGCCAACACCCCCCACAATGCCCCGCGGCGCCGCCCCCCCGCCGCGCCCCCCGGCACCCCCCTCGCGTCCCCCCGCAGAGCCCCGCGCCGCCCCCCCCACCAACCCCCTCCACAATGCCCCGCGCCGCCCCCCGCCAACACCCCCCCACCAAAGCCCCGCGCCGCCCCCCCCAACACCCCCCACAATGCCCCGCGGCGCCCCCCCGCCAACACCCCCCACAGTGCCCCGGCGCCGCCGCCCCCCGCCCCCCCCACCAACCCCCTCCACAATGCCCCGCGGCGCCGCCCCCCGCCAACACCCCCCACAATGTCCCCGCCGCCCCCCCCCAACACCCCCACAATGCCCCGCGCGCCGCCCCCCGCCGCGCCCCCCGGCACCCCCCCGCGCCCCCCCGCAGAGCCCCGCGGCGCCCCCCCCACCAACCCCCCTCCACAATGCCCCGTGCCGCCCCCCCGCCAACACCCCCCCACAAAGCCCCGCCCCCCCCCGCCAACACCCCCCACATGCCCCGGGACCCCCCCGCCAACCCCCCCACAGTGCCCCGCGGCGCCGCCCCCCGGACCCCCCCCCCAACCCCCCCCACCAATGCCCCGTGCCGCCCCCCCCACCAACCCTCCCCACAATGCCCCGCGCCGCCCCCCGCCAACACCCCCCACAATGTCCCGCGCCGCCCCCCGCCAACACCCCCCACAATGCCCCGCGGCGCCGCCCCGCCGCCCCCGCCCCCCGGCACCCCCCCTCGCGTCCCCCCCGCAGAGCCCCGCGGCGCCCCCCCACCAACCCCCTCCACAATGCCCCGTGCCGCCCCCCAACCCCCCCCAAAGCCCCGCGCCGCCCCCCGCCAACACCCCCCACAATGCCCCGCGGCGCCCCCCCGCCAACACCCCCCCACAGTGCCCCGCGGCGCCCCCCCGCCAACACCCCCCACAGTGCCCCGCGCCGCCCCCTGCCAACACCCCCCACAATGCCCCGCGGCGCCGCCCCCCCCCGCCGCGCCCCCGGGACCCCCCCACCCGCAGAGCCCCGCGCCGCCCCCCCACCAACCCGCCTCCACAATGTCCCGCGCTGCCCCCCGCCAACACCCCCCACAATGCCCCGCGGCGCCGCGCCCCCGGGACCCCCCCCACCCGCAGAGCCCCTCGCCGCCCCCCCCACCAACCCCCTCCACAATGCCCCGCGCCGCCCCCCCACCAACACCCCCCACAATGCCCCGCGCCCCCCCCGCCAAGCCTCCCCACAATGCCCCATGCCGCCCCCCAGGCCTCCCCCCACAATGTACCGTGGCATCCCTGAGCACCCCCCCCCACAATGCACTGCGGTGCCACAACCCCCAGCACCCCCACAATACACTGCGGCTCCCTCCTGGACTCCCCCCAGAGTCCATCGCTGCACCCCCATACGCCCCCTCACATCGCACTGTGGTCAAGACCCCCCCAGTTGACTGGGGCACCCTCCATAGGCCCTCCCCCACACACAATGCTCACTCCACCCTTCATAGAGTCCCCCAAGCCCCCACGTGCACCCTGGCACTCTTCCCCACAGGGCACCCCCCCATCGGGACTCCCACACACCATCCTAGCCCCAGAGCCTGACCTGAACCTACTGGTCCTATAGCACAAAGGTAACCGGCATCCTTCCATTCACTGGGGGACCCCACACCCACTGCACCCCCTGCACACACCCACTGGTGGGCCAGCCCTCCCCCCCCCCAAAGCCCTGTGGCACTCCTCCCTAGTCCCCTCCACTGAACCCCGCACCCACCCACGTGAACCTGGCCCTACCGGCCTGGGGGCACACGGATGCATGTCCCCCACCCCGCCACATCACCGCACATGTCGTCTGACTCCCGGCTCTGTCTCCCGCAGGGGACGTCTTGCTGAGGCCCATCTTGGAAGCGGCGGGAAAGGACATTAGTCACTGGTTCAACCCCAAGACCAGAGACGTGAGCACTGGCAGAGCGGGGGGTCGTTACAGGGGGCCGGTGCTTGCCCAGATCCCCAAACGCCACCCCTGCAGTTTGACATGGGCACAGGGTTCTCCTTCCCTTCCTGTCCGAAACCATTGTGAAGTGGTTAAACAGCTGCTGGGCCCTGCCCCAGAGGTGGCTGCATCTCAGTGCCAGGCGAGGGATCCCTGGATAACCAGCCGCCCTGCCCACCCTAGAGGTGGCTGCATAGTGGGAATAGAACGTTTTCCTTCCTTCCTTGTCTCCAGGGGTCTTTAGAGGAATTCCCCAGCTGGGCGCAGAACTCCCCCCCCCACCCCCCCGGATGGAAACCTTCCCTCCCAGCCACATCACCCTCTCCAGCTCTGCCCTTTCCTGTCTCACAGGGTGGGACTGGCTTGTTCGCTAAGCAGCTGACTACAAGCTCGCTGACTTGCCGACGGGGTCCTGATCCACAGCCATTGGGGCTTCAGGGTCTGATGCCTCTGTCCCCTTCCCCCATGAACCCCACACTCAGGTTCCTGTTTGTGGTTCTTCTTGAGGGAGTGGGAGGCTGGGATCCATCCTCCGCTGTCAGTGGGGTCTGGGACCAGCTGATCTGGTGGAATCCTGGGGCTGCCCCCTTCGCCCAAGCTGTGAGCCGATATTCAGGGTTGTTCCCATTGGATGCTGCGAGTCAGGGATTTCGGTAGTGCAAGCAAAGACCGTACTGCAATCCTGTTTTCTGGGATCAAACACCAGGCAGTTTCCTTGCTCAGAAATCCCCAAGCCTGCCTCTCCAGCCAGTCCTGTGCCCCAAAGAGCTCTGCCTCCTTGCTGACTCCCTCTGCACGGCTTCCCTAGCTTTCTTCCTCGCCCCTGCACAGACACAACTGCAACCAATCCATATCCCAGTTGCAGGGAAACCTTTTGGCTCTCTGGCCTTGGGCGGTGGCTTCTTAGTCAGCTCTTATGATGCAAAGGGGGTATTTAATTGCTCCTTCCATTTACGGTGCTTAGCAGGCCCATCAGCTTTAAGCAAGTCTGTGATTCTTGTCTGCCTGTAACACATTTATTGACCTAGGAGGCAGTGGCCGGGGGAGTGCAGTCGGATTCCCCCTTAACCCTGCTAATGGAATCGCCTGCCTTTCAGATCCAGACCCACGTGGACCCGCTGACGGGCTGCGTCAAGTACTACACCCCCCAGGGCCGCTTCATCCACATCCCACCCCAGCTGCCCCGCTCCGACTGGGCAAACGACTTCGGGCTGCCATGGTGGAAGGACAGCAAGTATGAAGTGGGGATCCTGGCTTCCAAGACCCGGCACATCCGCGTCGTCAACACCCTGACCTCGCAGGAGCACATGCTGGAGGTGAGCTGGGCCTCACACGGGGCAGGGAGCTTGAGTGGCAACGCCGGGCAAACTGCCATCCCCACGCACTATTCAGGGGGGCCTTGAGTTACCAGGACATGCGGACAGGCGCTAAGTGGGGTCTCCAATCAATCTAGAGCCCACTCCTGTCCTGAAATACACATGATGCGGTAGCATGCTGGTCCTTTAAGGCTGGTCATGACCCCATTTCCCCCGGATGCAGGGGGATTCTGGGAGTTGTAGTCCCTGGGGTGGAGGGCTTGGTAGCAAGGCATGCTGGGAAGGAGGGATATAAGAAGCAGGGCAGGGTGGGACATGGAGCGGGGTGGAGGGGAGTTGGTGGTCTGAGCTAGCAGCTGCTTTACACAAGGCTGGTGCTGCTGGGTTAGGGAGGCAGTGAACTCCCCTGTGAGCAGCAGGGGGCGCCGGGGGGAGATGGTGCTTTTGTTTCCCTGGGAGCTGAGGTTTGAAGTTTGGGGGAAGAAATATTTGCTCGAGGGCTGGTCAGTCCAGCAGGCCCCAAGTCTCTCACGCCGTCCCCCAGGTGTGCGCGGAGGAGTCCATGTGGGAGATCCTGCGGCGCTACCTGCCCCACAACGCCCACGCCGCCAGCTATACCTGGAAGTACGAGGGCGTCAACCTGGACATGGACAAGACGCTGGAGCAGAACAAGATCCCGGACGAGGACATGGAGTTCTACCAGCTCAACCTGGACTCCGACCTGTACACGCCGGGCATCTTGCTGTACTTCAACGACGACCTCACCGAGTTCTAGGAAGCGGGGGCAGGGCCACCCATTGGGCCCTTTCCTTGGGGAGATTTCTGCCCCAGGTGGGAAACGGCTCTCAATTCTCCTCCTGAATTCTCCACCTCCAGCAGCGCTGGGTGCGTCGCTCTGTCTGCAGGCCTCGAACCCGGGACCTTGCAGCTCTCGAAGCTGAGCTAAAGAAAACCCGGTTCCCGGAGCTCAAAGCGCCGCGGAGTGTTAGTGTTCCCTGCTTCATCCCGTCCTGCCCCCTTTGTCTCACCCCCAGCATTGCCAACTCTCACTCAAATCACAAGCCAAACCGGATTGGACCATAAGCCCATCAAGCCGGTATCCTGTCTGTGGCAGGGACCAATTGCTTCAGAATAAGGTGTGTGACACCCCCTAGTGGACATTTGGGGCATAGCCTGCCCAGGGGAGATGTTCCCCTGAGCTTAGGGTTTGCAAGTCCGTCCCGAGCGCCTTTGGTAATTCAGGATGTGCTCATTTATCCATATTGACCCTTTTGCTGAATCTTCTCTAAGCTCGGTATCTTGTGGCAGAGAGTCCCCCAGGACAGGGGGAAGGGATAGCTCAGTGGTTTGAGCATTGGCCTGCTAAACCCAGGGTTGTGAGTTCAATCCTCAAGGGGGCCATTTAGGGATCTGGAGCAAAAATTGGGGATTGGTCCTGCTATGAGCAGGCGGTTGGACTAGATGACCTCCTGAGGTCCCTTCCAACCCTGAAAATTTTTTGGGGGGAGGGATAGCTCAGTGGTTTGAGCATTGGCCTGCTAAACCCAGGGTTGTGAGTTCAATCCTTGAGGGGGCCATTTGGGATCTGGGGCAAAAATTGGGGATTGGTCCTGCTTTGAGCAGGGGGTTGGACTAGATGACCTCCTGAGGTCCCTTCCAACCCTGATAGTCTATGATTCTATGACAGCTTCGTTCTCTACCCAGGTATTCCCTTCGATTGCTCTTGACGACCTCTCAGTTGTCCATGAGTGAGGCGTCATGGTCTCCGTGTTCTTTCTGTCCTAGGCGCAGGGAAGGATTGGCCCCTGTTCGGGAGCTGAAACGGTCGCTCCCGTTCCACGTCGGATGCAGGGTTCCTGTTTCTGGCCTGTCTCTGTGGTGCTGGTACCGTGGGGCTGTTTTGTACCAACTTGTCATGTTCATAATGGAAATAAAATCTTTGTTACGACACTAATGTTATGATCGTCTCTTGTGGGATGGGGGGTAGGAATTGTCACCATACATCAGGACCCATCAATAACCCACCCCTTCCCTGCCACCTTAAATCAGACCTGTGGGCCCATCTAGCCTGTTATCCCAGCCCCTCTCTGCTGCCCTGGATGAGATGCATGGGCCTATCTAGACCGGTATCTCCCCCATGGATTTGTTTACTGGCCTGACCTATGAATCCTGGATGCGTGCTGTGATCCCAGGGCCCTGCGCACTTCCACAGGCCTCACCCGCTGTGCCATGTAATGAGCTGCTCTGGCCACTAGAGGGCAGCAGCTGTGCATCCATCTCCCAGCCCTCAGCTGCCTTGCCAGAGATCCCTGACCCCCAGCTCCCCTCCCTCTCCCCCAGCTATCACAGTCGACAGCTGGGACTGGATCTGACACCTGGGGGGTGTGGACTTCATAGCTTCTGACAGCCGAGCTCCGTGCACACCCTCCTGGCATCCTTTGTCCGCCCCACTAACTCCCTGTGCACCCCCCCCTCCCTTCCTCCTCTGTTGCAAGGACCCCCTGCCATTCCCCCAGTCCTTCCTCTGTGCCAGAGACTCTGTCTACCACCCCCTGCCAGGGGCTCAGTGTGCCCCATTTCCTCTCCCCCCCGCCCAACACACACACCAGGGTCCCCTTGCTCCCCTCAGCTATGGGGTGGGATCCTGCAATCCAGCTGCTCTCAGAGCTGCTCTCCAGGTTACACCCTGCCGGTCCCCAGCCATGTTCCTTCGCCCCCGGGGCGGTAACAGTACACAGTGCCCCAGAAGCTGGTTCTCTAGAGCAAAGCATGGTTTATTTTGCCCCAAGGTACACACCGCTCAGAGAAGTGGATTTAAAATAACTGAGACCTACACACTCCGCATTCCCCTCCATTCTTCTTTGAGTGAGTGGGTGCTCCACTCCCGGTTACTTTAAGTGCGCACGTGTCCCCATACGCCTTGGATTTTTGGTGTCAGTGTTTGTTTGACCTACACATGCGCCCCATACCTCCTTGCGCCCTGTACTGAGGACATATAGGGCTGTGTGGGCGAACGCCCTTCAGTTCCACCTTTGTCCTGAGATGGAGTGTCGAGCGTGCCCGGTTAGTATAGTTTGCTAGTTTGGTTTAGTTGTTAGTTGGGGCGGTTGTTATCCTTTGGTTCCTTTTTTTCTCCAGTTGAGAGGTTTCTCTGGTCTTTTCTGTTCTGCGCTATGCCAGGCTATAAGCAGTGTCCTTCCTCCTGGAAAGTACAGTAGTACAGAGAGCGTCACGTTCTAAGTCTCTGGGTATTGACAAGAAAAGTAAAAGTGCTAGAGGTCCTTCTAAGAAGTCTTGGTCACCGAGTGAGAAAAATGTTCCAGAGACCGCAGGTCCGAGATGGAGTTCCAAGTGGGTTCAGCACCGTGAGGATATCTAAGGCTTCCTCTAAGAGCCTTAGTATTACAAAACAGGATTGGGTACCAAAGACATCTTCAGCTTCGGGTGGTAGTATCCATACTAGTAGAAGGTCTACATCAAAAAAGTCTGTGCCTTTGTACGCTTCTGCATACCTGTACCTATACCATCATCCTATACGTACCACCAGAGTCTGACTCTGAACTCATAGCAAGTGTTTGGGGCCCATAGCACTGATGCTCTCAAGATTGGTACCTGCCTTGGTATGGAAGCTGGCCTCCTCATGTAACTACCTCCTAAGTACCATTGGTACTGCAGGAGTTTAGATACTCAAAGGACTTTCTTGGGTCAAATAAGCCAGAGTCCTCATTATTTACCGCCACCAGACAGCTGTTCGTATCAAGATCTTCTGGGTCACTGACTCCACATTTTTTCATCAAAACCTCCTTATACAGGACTTCGACCCTCTAGGGTGAACAATTATCACCTCTCCTGAAATATGTTGACAATGACTCTTTCAGCCACCAGATTTTATGTCGGGGTTCTCCTGTTTATTCTGCAAGAGGCAATGCTTCTACCAATTCTGGCATGACCAATGGTGGATGCCTCTTCTTATGCCCTATGGGGACCCCCAGTGGCCTTATTGAGACCCCTGGGCCCTATATCATCAACAGCCATAAGTGCCCTGAGTCACTCTTGTAAGGAGCAGAGACAGAGCCTTCTCCTCAGCCTTCACTCCAACCTTGTCAACCTGAACCATTAGAGGAGACTTTTGAGGAGCAGAAGGCAAGGGTTGGCAAGAATGTGGCAGGCTACATAAATATTTTGTCATTCCCAGATGAGGTTATAATGACTCCACCACCTTCCATGGCAGATTACTTCAGACAATTCCAGGAGCTGATAAAGCATGTCACTGGTACACTTCAAAACCCTTAAGAAGAGGTCCAGGATTCTCATCATAAACTCCTGGACATCAGCTTCTGCATGTGTGGCCCTTCTTTGCTAGAACCTGCTAGGACCATCTGGCAGACTCCAGCAATGGCCCCTCCTACTTGTAAATGTGCCAACAACAAATATGTTCCAGCAAAGGACTCAAGAGTTTTAATTTTTACACCCAACACCAAATTCTCTGGTTATTGACGCAGTTAATGAAAATGGTAGACCACATCTGGGATCACGCACCATCCAGGGCAAATGGTCTCCCCAAAAGTGTCTTCTGTACATCCACATTCTGAAGTTGAGAGCAGTCAGGAAGGCTTGCTGCCACTGATCAGAACCAAATCTGTCAAGATCACGACAGAAAATACGGCCTGCATGTTCTACATCGGTCATTAGGGCAGGGCACACTTCCTTTCACTCTGTGCTGAACCAATAAAACTATGGTATTGGTGTGTAGCTAACCAGGTAGTCATCTCAGCTTATTACCTCCTGGGTATACAGAACTCCATGGTTGACAGGGTCTTCCAGAATTAAGAATGGGAGTAGGATTCACGAGTCCTAAAAAGCATGTTTCTCACCTGGGGGTTTCCAGGAGTGAGCCTCTTTGCCACTGCCCACAAAGTGCAAAAAATGTTGCTCGATCCTCAATCAATAGGAAAGACCTTCCTTATTTCATGGGCAAGGGGGTTTCTTGCTCTTGAAAGTTCTCAACAAGATCAAGTAGGACAAGAACAAGGTCATTTTGATGGCATTGACTTGGCTAAGACAGGGTGTGGTATCCTTGCCTGATTTGGTCTTGCTTGACATCCAACCTGGATGCTTCCAATCAGTTGCTGCTTGTTGTCTCGGGAGAACACTTCATCCCAAATTGGAAGTTCTGTAACTCCAGGCTTCTGAATGGTTCTCAGGGGTGGAGACTTGCTGCTCAAAAGAGGTACAACTCTTATTAGTAAACAGCAGAAGGACACCGATGAGAAATACTTCCCTTCAGAAATGGAAAAAAATTCACCACTGGTGTAGCCACTGACATCTCTCTCCAGTTCACTCTCCTCTTTCCACCATCGTGGACTACCTGTTGGGATTAAAAAGATGAGGTTTCTGTATGGGTTCCGTTAAGGTACACTATTGCAGCCTTTCATTTGTCTATGGGAGGTTTTTCAATTTTTGGTCATCCTCCAAATTAAAGATTCCTCATAGAACTGATTAAACTTTCCCCCCAGATTAGAGAACCTATTCCAATATGGGACTTGATCCTTGTCCTTAATTGCCTCATGAAACATCCATTTGAGCAAATTAGCTACATGTTCATTGCTTCACCTGTTTCACGAAAACAGCTTTTTTGGTGGCCGTCACTTCTGCCCAGAGGATCAGTGAACTGGGAGTTTTAATGGCAGACTATCTCTTTACCTTGTTTTTCAAGGAAAAGGCAATGCTATCACCACATGCTGAGATTCTACCTACGGTGTCTTCGGACTTTCATATTAATGTGACCATTCATCTTCTGTTTTTTTCCTCAAAACCACATCAGACTAGGCAAGAAGCTTCTTGCCGTATTTTGGATGTCAGAAGGATGTTAGCCTTCTCTCTTGGCAGAACCAAACCTTTGTGAAAGTCTCGCCAACTGTTTCTTTTCAGTTGCAGACAGATCCAAGAAATCCATAATCTCCACCCAGAGATTCTTGAAATAGGAGTATTATTTAATGTTATGACTCCTATCAACATTCAGCTCCCTTCTAGGGTGTTAGCATGTTCTACAAGGTCATCATCTACTTCCATTACTCAAGGATGTTGCAACTGCTGAAATTTGTAGAGCTGCAACCTAGACTTCAGTACATACTTTCCTCAGCCGCTGTGCTTTAGTTCATGCGTCTAGAGCAGATGCTGCAGTTGGCAATGCAGTGCTGTCTTCGGTAGTAGACTCTTGTCCAAAGCTCCCTCTTCTCTGTGGGGATGTTGCTTGACAGTCATGGGAGTGCCCTCAAAGACGCTACTCAAAGAAGAAGGAGAGGTTACTCACCTTGTCCCGTAGCTGGAGTTCTTTGAAATGTGTCCCCCTATGGGTGCACCACTCCCCGTCGTCCTTGCTGTCTGCTCTGGAACTTTCTCTGCGAGACTCTGTGGTAGAGAAGAAACTGAGGGTGGTTTGCCCACGCAGTTCTCTCTAGCCTCACAACAGTGTACGAGGACGAGTAGGGCGTGTCTTCAGATCGAACAAGCACTGCTACTGAAAATCTCTGATCGAAGGTGCATGGGAGCACATGCAGAAGCAGCAGAAGATACCTAAAAGTGGATAGTCCGCCAGCGCCCAAACCGTGGCCCTGCTCCGGCACTGCCCCTTCTCCCCGAGGCCCTGCCCCCACACCACCTCTAAACCCCCAAATCTCCCCGCCATTCGCTCCTCTCCTACCCCCATCACTCTCCTTTACAGACAATAAAAAGTGGGGGCGGGGGCATGGGTCTCTGGCCCACCATGTTCCGCCGCCCCGGACGCATGCACCCAAGGGGGGAACACATCTCAAAGAACTCCAGTTACTGTGCAAGGGGAGTAAGCTCTGCGCAAGGAGAGTAAGTTTGCCTCCCCCTGGACACCAACTTGCCTGCTGCAGACTCAGCCTTGGCCAACAACCCTTTCAACAGAATCATAGAATATCAGG